CCACAAAAGGCTATATAATCTATAGAGAACTAGCTTTGACTTCGCCTAGGCCTCGTTAGCTTCAAATTAAAGTCAAATCCATCCTGTGAACTACTGGCACTCGTAGCTGTATTGGAGTTGTAGCGTCACCACGATATGACAAGGTATCGAATCCCGTAGAGGCTCGGATGAGATCTAGGCTGTGTCGAAACCTAAGTTCACCCAGAATGGAAGCCTATGAAACGCTGAGCCATAATCAACTTATTGTTGTAAAACGCAACTACTAGCCCTTAAATGGCCTTAAGCGACCGAGAGTGAATAAAATGGTCTATAAAACTACTTATACCGTAAATAAGAAAGTTAGAAACAAACAAAAATTGTAGCGGAATAAAATTTACGAAAAGTAGGCTATTTAGACTATCTTGAAATGACCATAAAGCAAACTATACTAGCCATAGAATTTCTATAAAGGTAAGGGTACCTTGAAGATGTCCTTTCGAAATTTATCGTCACCATATTTGATTATCTTGAGAACCACATAGGAAGCGTATCGAGACTTCATTAAATTCAAAAAATGAGGCCGTAATTCGCCATATATTTGCCAACGCTGAGCTTCGGTGCCATGCTGGATTAAGGATTCGATAATCCTAGAGGTATCATGCGCCATGCATAGAGCAGGTAATTTACCCTGAAAAATAGATGTTAAAACAAATTATATATTATTTTTATGAAAGAAACTGTTAAGTGAAGATGGTAAAGGAAAGCCCACTTTGGCTATCTCCAACATTTTTTCTATCAGCTGAAATTTTTCATCCTTTGGAGTGGAGTCACATCTTTGTTTTTCCCAGAGAGACAGAAGAGGAATGACCGCTTCTGAAAACTTTTTTCCATTTAACTTTAATGTCCTACGCTCCCGTTTTGACAATGACTTGAACTCTAAATTTGATTATGTTATGTAGGGATACGTATCCAGAAGTAAAATATCCGGCAAGTAAAACTTACTCTTTTTTCGCTTAAATTTCTTTTAAATAACGTATTATTGTAACTTACCAGAAAATTCCTTCGCTGTTTGCTAACATGCTGTTCCAAAGCAACTTTGTGTGAGGCATCAGAGGCACATGTCTAAATAGACCAAAAATAAGTGAGCCCTCAAATTTAAATAAAATATGGATATGGATGCAATTTTACCTTAATGGATGGTGTATTTTCAGCTGAGTTGATATGGTTAAGTTTCTTGGCATTACTTGCTGAAATTTTCCTCTTCTGAAGAATAAATATATAGTGGTCTATAGTTAACAATTAAAAATATCCAGATAAAAAGTAATACAAAATTCTCGATATTAATTACAACGTAATATTCAGATAAGGCATTTAAGAATGGGTGATTAGCAATAGGTGATTTAGGCCTTCATAAATACAATTCGAAATAGTGCATGTGCCAAGACCAAAATTAAAGCAATACTTGAAGGAAAATACAAGACTTATTGATATGCTTTATTTAAATACTATTGAAGTGATCTTGACTAAACTCTGTATGCATTCTGATTCTAATGACTCAAGCAAAAAAGTAATAATAATTGTGAACTGGCTAAGAAATCAAATTGATAAAATATTTTAACCTTCACGTATAGATATCGCAAACGCAATAGTTGTATATTTCTGACAACGAATAACATTATGCATTTTGCAAAATATACCATCAATTTGGAGTTAATGGAAAATTTATAAAATTTGTTTTAAAAGCAATAATAATGACATGATTTAAAAGTGGACAGCAAAATGTTATGTCAATACAATTAAGAGAAGATTTAAAATTAAATCATACGAGAACGCATATTAGTCGTTAGGGCACTGGCAGATG